TAGGTTGGCAGTTTATCTGTGTGAAGTTAAGACAGTACGTAATAATTCGAGTGTAGTTGTATAGACTGTTGGTAAGAAAGTCTGTGTTGTATATGAAGTCGATAGCTAGTTTGGCTTTGAGTTTAGCAAAGATTTGGTTCCTATTGAATTTGTTTATAAAGCAGACGTTATGCAGTCTTTTATATTTCTCTATTGCTATTTGTAGAAGTGAGTTGAATTCTTTCTGGTGTGGTAGTTGTGTTTCTTTATTTTTTGTAAAAGATCAGAAAAAGGCCGAGTTAAGGTACTCAAATTTTGTTTTCATTGCATTTGGTAGGTTGTGTTGGGTTGGATTAGTTTGGATTTTGTATTGAAGAAATTTTAGCAGAAGCTCTGATGATAAGAAAGTATTGATGATGTTATCATAGTTCCAGATTGCCATATCGAATTCCTGTGTACGGGCTTTTGCTAGTGCAATAGTAACTGAATTACACCAGGTAAGTAAATGGTTATCTTGAATATGTTTCTTTTTAGATAGATTGGAAGTGAATACACTACTATATGATCTCTTTGGGGGTGAAAGTGATTCAATAGTTGCATTGGATTGGATATCCATCTGGTAATCTGACTCTTTGTTTGATTGGGTTTGTCACAGAAGCTTGATGGGGGTCGATTGTTATATATCTGGGTTCCAGGAGTTATCTTGGTTGAGGTCTGGAAATGGATCAGGTGTGTTGTGATAATCAATTGCCATGGTTATGGTCTGGGTTCTTAGGTTGTATATATTATTTCCCACGCTTGTTTGTTTGTTTATATTGATTCCCATGCTATTTTGTTTGTTTGTATTGTTTCTCACGCTTGTTTGTTTGTTTTGTGCCGATAATGTCATAGTTGTTTTTGATAGGGGTTTGCTAGATTTTCTACTTTGAGCTGAGTTTTTTGGTGCAGGAGGTGAGAGTTCAACAGTAGTGGTGATGGGAGTGGTGTTTGTAGTGTTTTCAGGTTGTGAAGTAATCTTCTTCTTTTTAAGTAGTGGTAGGTTGTCTAGTAAGATAGGGTTTTGTTTTGTTAACAGATTGTCTGAGGTTCTGGTGGGATTCATCAAAGTCAAGCTTGATCAAGTTGGAGGGATGAAAAAAGGTTCGAAGGCTTTGGGAGTAGAGAGTAATACATTTCTATCTCTTTTCAGCTTTGTGTATATGACTTGGGGTCTAATCTATAATACTTAGTGTGCCCAAAAGGCCAAAAATATATATAAAAAACTGTTTTTGTATTTTTGCGAGTGTTTTTCTCTTAATTTTTGTTGTTTTGATAATCTACACTTCACAAGTTTCAAAATTATACAACTCTTCAAATTTATTAACTATTCTATTAATTCTAGCCCTTATTCTCCAATACTATTTACTTCCAAGAAGGCTCAATATTTCTTAAATCAATTCTTGTTTCCTATTCCAAATACTCTACTTTCAAAAAGCAACTTCACCACCACCACCTTCTTTTTCTTGATCAACTTACTACATCTGGCAACTCTTGTCTCCTCGATTAGACACACATCTTACCTAGACGTAACAATATCCCAAAGAGAAAAATCTCACTTTGGTTTACTTTTCTTAAAAGCCAAACTATTACTACCCCTACATATACTCTTCTGCTTAGCTTTCATTTGCCCTCCTCAAACTATTATAATTATAATACTGGCCACTTTTATAAACACTCCAAGCTATAGCTTATTACTCTCTTAAATAACCAAATTATCATTAGCAAAGCCCATTATTAATCTAACAACTCTGACTATACTCTAATAAATCACTGGCAATGTAATTCTATAAACCACTCACTCCCACCTTATCCTTTACTTTCTATAACTGCAACCTTCTGCTTAAACTGCCCCTTAAACTCCAATATTATTGTCAACAAATACATTATTTTTATTTCTACTAGCCTGGCTATAAAATTTTTGGCAGATTAAATTCTAACAAAACACTCAATTTTCATGCTAATTATCTGGACCTTTTACATTCAATTATACTTTTCAACCTCAGCCCACCCTCTCTTTTTTTAAACCTCAATATTCCAACAATCCAAACTCCTTTAATTTTTCAATCTGGCTCTGCTCTTGATATACTGCTACTCAAAATAGCAATCTAAATAACTTTACTTTTTATATTAATGGCTCTGTTACAAATATAGGTAACCTCCAATGCTCAATGGGTATTGGTTGGCTACAAGTTTATAACTATACAATTCAGCATACTTTTCAAGCCCAAATTGAACTTTGTCCTTGCTCCTTCAAAGCTGAACTTCTAGCAATCCTGTCAGCTATTAATACAGTCTCTTAAAACTCATCTATACATATTTATACTGAATCCCAATCTGTAATCTCAAAACACAACAACCTCTTACACTTCACCACAGCAAATTTCTCAAATACTTCATATTGGTCTATTTGAAAAACATTTCTTAGCCTCTGTTCTTCACTTAATCTCTCTATTACCTTTCATAAAGTTCAAGCACACCAAGATAATATACTCAACAACAAAGCTAATAAATTAGCTCGCAGCCACTCTAATGCACCAATTCTCATGCTTAACTTTAGTAATATATATAATGTCTAATTTGTTTTTCTTTTTCATGGCCTCTCTCTTGAGCTTCCTGCTCACCATAGCATTTGCACTATATACAACACAAATATTTTCACCCATTGGTTATCTCAATATCACTTTTAGCAATGGTCCTTCCTCTCAGAGAATATTCATTAGAATGCTACCTGGCTTTATCTTAATAATAACCAAAAAGTTTCAAACTTTATACATAGTTTCCAATCATCAACACTTAAAATATTTAAAGTTAAACTACTACTTGATGATCTCCCATCTTCTCATATTTTTTATAAAAGATATCCTTTCTATCTAACTCTTGTTATATTTGCCAACAACTCACCAATACACTTTACTAGATATTCTGCCTCTCCTCTGCCCAATACTAAACCTTCTCAATATATCTTTACAACAAATTCTAACTTTGAACAAGCTTCAAATTTCCTAAACCCAAATAAATCAACTTTTTAGTCAAATCAAAAATTTAGATAGTATACAAATTCACACTTTTATCTTTAAACCATCACTGTTCTCTACAATTACTGGTCTTGTCCCAATTGATATTATAAATACCATTCATGTCTACACATCCTCTATATCCTCTAACAACTTTGTTTGCTCTCTTACTATTCAACTCTTTCTTCACCTTAACCAACAAATCTACACAAATATCTGGATCTCTTACTACACTTTAAGATCACAATCTAATTTTGCTCTAAACAACAATAGCAACACCAACCCTGCCAATTCTTCTATACCCCTTTCTAGCTCAATATTCTTATCTAAAAATTTTTCTAATTCATTTACATTCAAATCACTCTGCAAATTAGAAACTTGGTACCCTAACTGGATTAAATTTTCTTCACACCCTTCATTTATTTTTACTTATTCCCACACAGGTTGAATCAATGAATAACAGGTACATATCAGAAGACAAATCTCCTGATATGTATCCATTAGATCTGCCAAATAACTGTAGCATATCAATAACATATTGGTAGCATATAGATTAGATATCAGGAGGTAGATCGATAATGGTAACATAATAGCAACATACTGGAACATCCCAGTATCTTACTCTTAGCACAATTTGGGCCAAGAGTAAGATACCGGAATGTCTAGTATGTTACTGTTATATTACTATTATTAATCTACCTCCCAATACGTATCAAACCTATATACTACCAATATGCTATCAATATGCTACAGTTATTTGGCAGATCTATGGTAGAATAATGGATACATATCAGGGGATTTGTCTTCCGACATGTACCTGCTATTCATTGATTCAACCTGTGCCAATCTAGATGAGCCTTGGCTACTCTGGTAGGTTTAGGCCACAGATAAGTATTTAGGTTTACTTAGATATATGTCTGAGTTCTTTTTCTTAGTTTTAGATTTAAAAAATAAAACCTTTTTTGTTTATGTAAGAAGTTTTTGTTAAATCTAATAAAGATAAGAGCATGATCTCACCTTTAACATTAAGAGATAATAAATTTGCAGATTTTTATATTAACTACTATTAGAATTAGAAAAACCTTTACTTAAAGCTAAAAAAAACCTTTATTTAATAAAACCTTTTTGATTTTTAAAGAATTATTTTAACCAATTATATTATTGTATAAAGTATATTAGTTATTTGACTTAAAGTATATAGTAAAGAATACTTAGCTTTAAAGAAAAATTAACTTCAAACTATTTAAAATTAAAAATTAAAACTTTAAACTAAAATTATTAAATGCTGAAAAATATAATATATTCAAAATTTAAAAAAAAGTTTATATATATATTTTTACAAAAATTAAATTAAATAATTTTTGTATAAATTTATATATAGTATAAAATTAAAATAAATTAACTTATTTGATTTATAAATAATAGCACTTATTAGAACATGACCTGTAACTGTTAGTAAAACCTTCTTTAATTTTTAAAAAATTATTTTAACCAATAATATTATTGTATAGGAGTGTCAGTATTTAACCTAAAAAAATATAGTAAAGAATTGCCCAACTTTAAAAAAAGATTAACTTCAAACTATTTGAGATTAAAAATTAAATCTTTAAACTAAAAATCATTAAATGCTAAAGAATATATATTTAAAATTTAAAGAAAGGTTTATATGCGCGATTTTACAAAAATTAAATTTAAATGATTTTTTTGCATAAATTTACATATAAAATTAAGGTGAGTAAACTCATTTGATTTATAAGTAACAGCAATCCAAACTCCTACATGTGAACATGTCCTATAACTGTTAAGAAGAAAGATTTGTTGAAAGGTTGTTATTTATGATTTGAAATTTTATTTTGAATGTAGAAAGCTTTCATTTTTATAATTATTGTGTACATATTCTGTATACTATTAGACCAACCTACCGCCTTTATTCAACATATCCTGTCTAGTCGCTAAATTATTTAATACCCTCTTCTTTATCAATATTCTCCTCTTTAACAATGTTCACCTCATTAACAATATTCTCATCTTTAACAACATCTTCCTCTTTAACAATATTCTCCTCTTTAGCATCTTCCTCTTTAACAATGTTTTCCTTTTCATTATCTTTAACAATATCTTCCTCTTTACCGATATTCTCTTTAACAATATTTTCCTCTTCACCGATATTCTCTTTAACAATATTTTCCTCTTTGACGATATCCTCCACTTTAACAATATCTTCCTCTTTACCAATATTCTCTTTAACAATAATTTCCTCTTTGACGATATCCTCCTTTTTAACAATTTCTTCCTCTTTACCGATATTCTCTTTAACAATATTTTCCTCTTCGACGATAACATCCTCTTTAACGATATCTTCCTCTTTACCGATATTCTCTTTAACAATATTTTCCTCTTTGACGATATCCTCCTCTTTAACAATATCTTCTTCCTCTTTGACGATATCCTCTTCTTTAACAATATCTTCTTCCTCTTTGACGATATCCTCTTCTTTAACAATATCTTCCTCTTTAACGATATCCTCTTCTTTAACGATATTCTCTTCTTTAACGATATTCTCTTCTATAACAATATCCTCTTCTATAACAATATCCTCCTCTTTAACGATGTTCTCCTCTTTGATAATATCCTCCTCCTTGTCGATATTCTCTTCTTTGACTGCATCTTCCTCTTTATAACCCACATCCAAGTGTTGCTGAACTATTTGACCATCAGATTCTTCCCATAACAGATTTCCTTCTTCCCCTATAAAATTATTACCAATTTCTTCATGATGAGGTTCTGAATTTGCGGATTGATTGTCGAATGAAGAAGCATCATCTGGTAGAAGATGAGTTGTTTGGATTCCTTCGCCCTCTGGTTCACTGACTTCGATATCGGGATCTAAAAGTTCTTCCTGATATTCAATATCAGAAGCTTCTTCTTCAATATCAAAGAACCAATGATACTGAAGTATTAAACATTTTATAATACTTGTATGGAATCCCAAATTGCCCATCGAAGCCGCAAAATCACGTGACTTAAACAGAGTAGGTCCAAAAACAATCGCCAGATTGTCCGCGTACATATGGTTGAACTCTTCAAAATCAGTAACTCTAGATTTGTATATTTGAATAAATGCCATGCCACGTTATTAAACCGAAAAAAAAAAGAAAAAAAAAAAGGGTATAAAGTACCTTTCCAAATGCTCAATTAGTCGTTTTAATAATACATAGTTTGGTTTTGGTAGTCGGTATAAAAGATCTTTAATTGCATAAAATTTGTCATCTCTACTTTGTATCTCTACACAACAGAAAGTAAAATTATGTTAAAAATGTATAAAGAAATTAAATAAATCGTTTAAACAAATTATCGTACTGGCAGCTCGTATAAACTCGTCATATAATTCGAATGTTGTTAAAGGTTCAGGAAGTGAGCGGAAAAAGAGTTTTAGAGCACCAGCAATAACATTTATATCTCTGTATTCTTCATCGTTAAGATTTACAGCTTCAGCATCTTATATTGAAGTGCATTAATAAACCATTAAATTTATGTCAAAAACACTTAAATAGCAATAATAGCAATGAAATTTATGGTGCAAAAAAAAAAAAAATTTTTCTTACTTGTATTAAATGCAGCTCTGAGTTTATTTACAGAACCTGCTATTCCAGGAACACGATATATGCCAACTTCTTCAAGGCCTAAATATAAATGATAATAAGATCGCTATATTTTATAATATAAATAATATAAATAATAATATGTATGTATAAACCTCTCTTTTCTATTTCTGCTATACATTTATCAACCAGAACTGGAATTTTGCCATCCGCCATTAAGGTGAAAAGTTCTTTACCGTATACTAAACAAAAATAATTGTGAATATTATTTTATGGAACATAAACCGTTAAATTTAATTAATGTTAACTCACCAGAACTTCGCGTCTTAGTTTCTTCTGGGACTTCTTCTTCTTTAGGATCTATGGCTTGTTCAGATTGGAAAATTGTTCGTCGTTTCTCTGCTCCTTCTTTGGCTGCGTCATTTATAACTTGTATCCATTCATTCATATTATCGTAATCGAGAGCTTGGAATAAATACTGCCCTCCTTCTTCACTTTCAACGCGGAAAACAAAATCAAACATAGCATCATACTCAACAGATGTCACGGAATTAATGAGATTTATTACGAGCGTAGGTTTAGGATTGGTATTTTGAGATTTCGAAGATGAACTCGTATTTCCAGAGTGAATAGTAGATTGCCATGTATTTGCTAAAACCATCGAGAATGGGCGTACAGCATGTTTGATAAAGGATTCTACCCTGGATTTATTACGTGGTCTTTGTTGTATTCTAGTTTGTTTTTCAAGTAATTTTGCTTGTTCATTTTGCTTCTTTTGTAATTTGTTCTGCGTCTCGCGAATATCTTTTGCAAGACGTTCTTTTTCCTTTTGATCCCGTTTGACCTTCTCCTGTTGTTCAGCAATAAGCTTATAAAAAGGTTTTTGTAATTTTGGCTGTTTTGGTGGGGCATTGGAGACACGCATCATATTATTCTCTCGAGAAGCGATCTCTTTAAGAAAACGCAAGTTAGTTTTAGCATTAGACTTTTGAGTAATACTTATTAAGTCACTGAAATCTACAACAGGCTTGCGATCTTGAGCCCGTTCTGACAATTCGCGTTGTAAACGGACAAAAATTTGTGTCAAGTTATATACATATCGACGTTTATCATAATTTATCAGTTTTTCTGTATCAAAAGATATATCTGGTACATTGCAACATATTTCTAACATACGCTCGAATAACCACCCAGTACATGGTACAAGGGGGTTATGCTGTATATTAATGGCTAAGTGTCTTTTGGATGAACAATTCTGTAACAATGACTCGAGAGATTCTAGGCCACCATCTCTAGTTATGGAAACTTCATTCCAAGCTTTTGCAAACAATCTACTTTCAGAACTAACCAGTGCACTTACTATTGCACTTTCTACGAAGGATGGAACACCCCTTTTTGCTTCGGACTCATGTTTAGCAATTTCATCTTTTGGATAAATATCTAATTTTTCCATTCTCTTTCTGCTTAATAAAATCATATCAAGAAATATATTAATTCTATTCACTCGTTGTTCGAGGTCGATCGTTGTTGATACAATCTCTTGAATTGCCCATTTACGAATAGCGTTATGAGTCCGACAAAGAGCTTGGATTGAACGAGGAAGTGAACTTAGAACACTTTTTTTAGAGCTTCCTGTTCGCTCTGTCTGTTGCAAAACAGTAAAAATGTCTGTGATATGTATTTCCTCATCAGAAGTGGATGCTTGTTTTTTGGGATACCAGCCAAGAACATTTATTGATTGCGTTTCAAGAATTTCAAAGGCAAGAACCCATTCTTGCGGTGTTACTGCTTCGAATAAACCGATGATTAGAAGATCAATGCTATCAAGAAGATCAGATACATTTTGTACGTCTGAAGAAGGGATAATTATATCAGCATCCTTAGCCATAGCATTGTTTCTTGACGATGGCAATGATGATGGGTCATTGATAACTTTATCTATTATGGAAGCCATTTTCTCATTCTGTGCATCATTAGCGGGTTCAAGGCTCTTGACCATAACCGATCTTTTTAAATCAATTATTAATTCTTTAGTTTCTTCAGCATGAGATAATGATTGCTCATCGTTGACGTTGCTGATCAATTCTTCTATTTCCAATTTTGTATCATTGAGAAAATGTATTAAACGATTTCTCAATGTTAAATCATCCAAAAAATCATAGAAAAATTCTTCAACCCAATAATGAAGTACTTTAAGGACCTTCGATTGGATTATTATCATTTGATTCCAATCATAAGATGCAACATCTTTTTTAGTTTCGTTTTCATTATTAAAAGTCACAGGCGTAGTTGAATCTACAGGTTTCTTTGAATTTTTTTTTGCGTTAGCATAGTGCCTTTTTAAAATATCAAGAAGTACACTTGGGCTACAAAAGCTACGGTATGTGCTAAAGAATGTCGCTAAATATTCCGCCGAGTTAATACCAAGTTGACCTTGTTTTCCTATGGTCAAAGGTGGCTCACCATTATCATCAACTACGCTAGTGCTGAAAGAAGCAACGCCGTTGATCAAAACATCCACTAACCTTTCTAAGGTTCCTGCCTTAACAACAACCATAAGGGCATCATGCTCACCATTAGTATATAAACTTGTACGCGGAGAGCTTTGTTGGGGATGTGTAATACCGTGAATTGAATTTCGTTTAGAAGTTGTACCAGATGAAGATTCAACAATACTTGCAGGTCGTGAACCAGTGGCATCTCTAACAGATTTAAATACAAGTTCACCATCTTTAACGAACATAAGCATTTCACCAACACCGGCAATATCTTTCATACATTTCAACAATACAGTATAGCTTCCGCGATGTTGTACTAGACCACCTAACCAATTCCTAGTAAATAGATCCAATCCAGTATTCCAAGTTGTAGAAGTTATGGGCCCTATTTTTGATGGAGGAAATGATATAGTTCTTTGTCTTACACCTCCGTAAATTTGGTGCGCTGGTGAATTATTTGTATATTGGGTTTGAGTTTTATTGATGGGGGAGGTCGGATGTGTATCTGAATTAACAGATGGACTTGAGAAACTTTGTCGCGTTGGTGATGCCATTGAAACCAATGAATTATTATCACTTCCTATATTTAAAGAAGAATTCGATGTTTTTTTACCTAATGTTCCACTCGCACTTAACACTGCATTTTTTTCAAACAATCGACTAGAAGGAATAACTTCGGTAAAGACCAGTGGTACGTAAGCAGAATGAGATTTATGTTGGCGAGCATGGTGTTCTAAATATTGACCATGTAAACGAGGTTCACATATTAAAGATGAATCAAATAATTGCCAAACATCAAGTGCGGATGATGATGGAACAGAATTGAGTTGATGGAAATATTTTTGGAGAGGAGATGAAGGAGTAAAAGGACATGAATTTTCATCAAATTTTATGTAGCTTTCAGCTTGCTCCCATTGATTCAGGGAGTGAATAATTGTATCATACATTTTTCGATATTTATCAAAGTTAATGATACTTGACCCTGAAATACTATTATTTCTGGATCCAACACGGCTTTGATCATTTGTAGATCGATCAATAACCGATGGAATTGTTGAATTAATTCGGTCCAAAGCAATAGTAATAAAACCAAAATAAGGAATTGGTTTAGTTTTACTCTTTTCCTTTTTATCTTGTATAACTAAGAGTAGAGAATTTACGTTCTCAATGTCAGCTTCTCCATCGATGCCTCCATAAGACAATAAAAGAGGGATCCATTCATTTATAACAACATCTTTCCAACGTTCATTTACTCGTCTCCATGTTTCTTTCAAACGTATAATTCCTGGTGAACATATAGCTGATGCAACGGCCATCCAACCTGACATATCACCTAACATTTTACACGCAATACCTGTCTGAATCCAGTGAGTTAATATCAAAGGACGACGACTAGTATATGCAGATTGTTGAGTTGCTATTAATATATGATGATATATTAATCTTGTAAGAAAATGAGGTGCTGTAGGAGTAGAATTTAATGGACTTTCTTTTGGGAGTGATTCTTGACGATTTTTTGACGGACTAAAAATTCTCAAATCCATCATAGGTTTTGTTTTATAAAGTTCCAAGAAATGGTATATATAAATTTGTTGCGCTAATTCTTCTGGGACCATCTTTAAAAACAATGCAGGAGTTAAACCAGTAACAAGCAAATTAGAAAGATCTAATGAAAGGGGTGCAGGGACTGAATGATATAGAGTCTCTTTTACTGTCATTTCTTCTTCATTATTATCAACATTTAATACACTATCACGTGAATCTTGCATTAATCTCTTTATCTCTTCTGCATTAGAAGGATTTTTTGCAAATGCCTCGTCCACTAACTCTAACATGGCACTCCAAATATCATCACGTGCCAAATCTCGACTGTAATTTCGACACCATATTGTAAGTATTATCATTAATCTTTCACTTATTTTATTGGTTTTATCTTGTTGTTCATCATCTTCGAATGTACTCTGCATGCTTGCACAACGTTTCAATTCGCGAAAAACGTGGGTTGTTTCAGCAAAAAGTGGATAGGTTAGAAGAAATGCGTGAAGAAATTCATCATTTTCTTCAGTACCTTTTTGTGTTTCGAATACAAGTTCATGAATTAATGAATCAATAGAACCTCCACGAATAAGAGTTTGAGATGTTGTTGATTCAATTACAGGTGGTGATGATGAATTAATTTCGGACTGTGATGATGATTCAATTTCGGGTGATGATGGTGATGATATAGAATGATTGTCAAGAGAATCCACTACATTAGTTTCCCTAATTATTAACTCAGGATGTCTCCCCGTACCCCAATATGCTCTCCTTCTTGGTGTAGTTGTTGTACTCTCAGATTTTTCATCTCCAGTTCCTGTGAAATCTTGAGAATTATTAAGACCACGTATACCATATTGTACTGTTGTTAATCCAGGATTATCCAAATCATAATTCAAACCTTTTGATTGTTTATCGGATAATTTCATTAATTTTCTTAAATTTGCTTTTTTTGCATCCCATAATTTTGCAATCCATAATGATCTAACATCATTATTAGAAGCAACAAAAACTCGATAGCTATCTTTTTCACCATTATCGACAATGTTTAAATAAAGGATAACACCAGATGTTGAAGAAACATTTGCAATAGCTGATAATGAAGAAGAAGCAGATCGAAGAGAAGATGTATCATCATTTCTATTTGCCGTAAATGGAGGTTGTGAAGAAGGAGTTATATAAGGAGAATATCCAGTAGGTAAATTTGGATCAGGAACAACATCTACACTATGAATTGAATAACAAGCATCAAGCTTCCATTTTGTATAATAGCCTTTACCCTTATTTATTGAAGAACCATCATTATCAGGTATACCACGTGTACTGCTGATAGATCTCGTATCCCAATCTTGACCACCAGAGTCAGAATTGATATTAGGAGAATTAACATTCGTAGAAGAATGATTTCCACCAAATCCCATCGCATCAATTATGGGTCTTAAATTTGCACTAGTATATCTTACCCATTTGCGTTTGCAGATGACAACATTGTCCTTAAATATAAGCAAGCATACGTGCTTCTTGAATCGCATAGCAACAGTACGATCTACTTCATAGCAAATTTCACCATAATAATACTTTGAGATCAGAGGTGGATTAAACTTATCATTTGAAGAACCTTCGAAAATTAATTTACTAGCATTAGAATCAAAATTTGAAGGATTAAGAATCATACCACGATCGCTGGTAGGTGAAAGAGTTGAAAATATATCCTTTCCCATTGTTATATCTTTATTGTTTGGAAAAAAAGTCTTTAAAACAGCCTCAGAAGGAGGCCTATAGAAATACAATTTTGAACCTCTCAATATCACACGGTATACTTTCCAGCCGCGTGAAGAAGAAGAAGAAATAAATTTTACGTCAAAATCAATTTTTTTGTTTAAATAACCCTCTTTAATGATAGGAACGGTTGATATTGAAGCAGAACGATTAATACGTAAACCGTTATTATTGTCGACATGATGAACGTTAATGGCAGGTACAGCACCATAAAGACCGGTATTCTTTTTTCCTGAAGAAGGTAAAGTAGGTACAGCACCATAAATACTGACGTCTTTATTATTTGAAGAAAAGTTAGAATAATCCGTATTTAAGGTTCGTTTATTTAATCCTAGTACAGCTGTTGGTTCAGAAGGACGACGTTGATGATCAGGACGATTACCGATATCACCATTTAAAGACCTGGAACCACGTTTTTGAGCAGGAGATAAAGTAGCAGGAGAGCTCAATAAAGAAGAATCATTTGGCGCCGGAGGAGAAAAATTATTTATAGTAGAAGTATCAGGATTACGCTTATTTTTATCTTTCTTTGGTAGATTTGGAGTTATTATTTTTGCAGTGTTGATAACGTTTGGAATAAAATTTGGAGCTCTTTTTAAAATGAAATTAAGAGCCGCACCGGTTTTGTTGTTTATGGCAACAGTTAAATTATTATTATTTATAGACTCGTTATTTCCGGAGGTAACTCGAGGGTCAGTGTTTTTTGAAGTGTCTTTTTTTTTTCCGATCTTAAACATTATGAAAAAGAAAAATCTTGTATTTTTTTAGGGGGAACGAATAAGTTTGACAAACGACGAAAGATAATAGATTAAGGTTAATATTTATTAATAAGAAAAATAAATTATTTTAAAGATCTCGACACAGACATTAACAAGAGAGGAATAAAATAAAGAGAGAAGGAAAAAAAAAAATAATTTTTTTTTTTTTTTTTACGTCCTTTCGAACCTTTTATTTAACCTTTACAAACCGTCCAACATACAGAATTGAGTTCTTTATTTTCGAGATGGACAGTACGAAAAAAGAGAGAAGAACTTTTTAAAAAAAAATGTGTAGAAAAAAAGTAGTAAACAAGAAGTTTTTATTGAATGTTACACGGTAATTTAACTATTCAAAATATGTAAAATATTTGGTAGTAATGTAAGTGGCTTCAATTAATGCTATCAAAAAGGACGGTTACAAGTGAGCTTACGTAACGACACATACTCATCGAGAACCTGCTAATTTAGGTAGAAATTTGTAGGGCAAATGTAGTTCAATGTGTTATCATTATACGAATTAAGAGCAATGAACTATATAGGGTATCAATGATTTCTGGGTATATCACATGAAATAGATAAACTATTATTGCTATTATTACCTTCACACAACGTCTCTGAACTTTTTTGAATTACACTTCTGCTATAAATAAACTTTGAACTTTCTTTAATTAACAGCATTAATTAAATTACGTAACAGTTTAATATTAACTTTAACAATTAACAGCATTAATTAACAGTTAACAAAATTATAAAAGGTATATATAAACTATAAGAAATATGGTACGTAGTTCTTTAAAAAAATAACAATAATAAATAATGATACGTAACAATAATAATAGTACATATATATATTAATTAATTAATTAATTAATTAATTAATTAAAAACATAATAAAATAATAATAATAAGGATAATAAACGATCGTTGTAAAAATCAACATGATCGCTATGTATAACTAAAGATTATCATTTCTTTCTTGGCGTCATTTAAAAAGAGCAAACTAATTTACAATATAAAAAAGTTTATTTCGTTTAGTAACTAACCTCCATCGGGATTACATGAATGGTTAGACAAAAACGGTGCGATCTTATTATAAAAGTTATGCGTCCTTGGGATGTATATATATACTTAGAGAATAAATAGTTTCCTGGTATGTATTTTCTTCGTTACAATATTTGATATTACTACGTATTGGTATCTATAATGAAATGAAAAATGAATATATGGATGGATATTCAAATGCTCAAAGAAACATAAGAAACATGACAGTTTCTCACCATATACCCAACATGCATGCTATATATATCATTTTTTCGACGCTAAGAACATTCATTTCGAATATTGCACCATTATTACAATATTAACAAATTAGTATGATCCTTTAACTCATTAAGACATTTACAGTATAAGGCAAGGCATTCATTATTTATTATGAAAACTTAAAAAATGGCGTTTGGCAAAAGGTCGGGTACAGCATTACCATTTGCGGCTTTTTTTCATCGCCATCCCCATTAATTAAATATTAGAAATTGGTATTCATTAGGACTCGGAAAATAATGCTGAAGTTATTAAGCTATGTAGTACTCACATAGATTTATTAATAAGGTTATTAGATTAGGGTCCATCTTTTTTCACTATATACATTCGTGTAAGGTTTAGTCACGTGTTATGGGTGAATTTCGATTGGTAATGGACCATTATTGTGCATCTTCTCGCGTAAACGGAAATATTATCAGTTATTGGAAGTGATTTCCATAGTTATACCGATGGAAAAAGTTAAATAACAAACAATCATCAGAAAAGCAAGTTTATGCTACCAGAAGCAAACCAACGCTGATAAATCCATACTAAATTATAATAAATATATTTTTACAAATAATTTAAATATGTATATACTGTATATTATTAATACAAATAAGCATTGCATGAGATTTAATAGTTTCGAGGTTTTTTACATCAGCAAACAAAAAGTATCAAAAATCTCATTTATCTCTAAAATGGTAAGCTAAACATGCATGGATTAAATATAATATCATAAAATGTTAAGCAAAAAGAGCGCAGATGAAAGACATAATTAAGCCGATAGTAACTTTGGCAAAAATATCGATACGTATACATAAATGCGGAGTAAATGCGCATAGAAAGTTCTATGCCATTTGGCGCTGCTCTTTTATAACCTATGATCGGCGAACCCTCGTTTCCTTTTCGAGATTTAATGGACGTCACACGTATAGCATATAAAAGGTTTGAAATTTCGTCATGCATAATTGCATAGTTAATGCATCATCCCTATTATATATTTATATCCAAAGTTTTTTTTACATGGTAAAAAAAAACGGGTTTGAATTTCTGAAAAATTATGGAGATAATTTTACCTGAATTTAGGGTTCTTGATGCAATTTCAAACTCTGACAGTAGTTCGCCATCGCCAATCAAAAAGGTCGAAATATACGAAACTAAATCGCAAATATCATCATTGCGGAATTATGATCATGATCGTATCAAATCAATTAGCACTAAAATTAACCCAGGCAATTCTTATGAAAATCATGTTAATGGCGACGTAGAACCACGTAAGGTTAAACGTCGGACTCGAAATTCTATCCGAAATTCTTCTAACTCTTGTAGTTCACAAGGAACTTTAGTGAACCTGGATTCGGAATTATTTGAAGACGATAATTCTATCATGGAAAGTGATGATGAACAAACAAGTTGTGATAAAAAAACAAGTAGTAATGTGCAAATAAGTGGTGAACGAAAAGCAAATCAATTTTCAACTTCACATAGCAATGTACAAAAGGATAAGGTTCACCTTCTTCGGAAATCCAATACTGAACTAAGTGTTTTTACAATGATAATTTTGGTTTCTTTGGCATCGTATATCCTTGGCTCTTTGGGTTTCGGATGTATTTGGATGTTTGTGCTTTATCATTGTGTGAGGTGGTATATTAATACAATAAAAAGTGATAACGAAAGCATTACATGGGAGAATAATCGTCAAATTTCTGTGGATAAAGTATGCCTTTTATTTCTTGAGAAAATTATCGAATATTTTTCTCGCTTATTAAAATCTATTTTTTATGTTCAAAGCTTAGAAGGAATGAAGGTGAAACCGTAGAATGGTGATTAAACCTTATAAAATATTAATTTGTTTTAACAGTTCTACTTTTTACTATATTTAAAAATTGCAATATCGAATATTTATTTAATAGGCTAAATTATTTATTACTACAAATTTGGCGAACACTTGATCCATCGCTTTTAATTGGCCTCCGAGATATGCTTGAAGATGCAATGTCACGTAGCGCTCCATCTTTTGTGGTTTGTATTTTTCATTCTTTTTATCAAGTTTCAGTATTGACAGTATACTGATATTACTAAATATATTATATAGCGCGCAACAGATATCGAAGCGTTTGAGATCGGTTTAATTGCCCCACGAATTGACAGGTATGCCCCCTTTGATCTCCGAATTTTGTATGAGTTATTATATTGTTTACATTTATCTTACAATTCACGTAATTACTTATTCAACAGTATCAAAATATTTCCAATATCTGAAAGCGAAGAATGAGATTTAAGCAGCACAAAGAGAAAAAATAAACTTCTATATCCAGTGATGCTACAATGATATGGAAACAAACACCTCAAGAATAATCAACAGTATACTAAAGCATGGAAAAGCAAATATTTCTTATAACAAAATAATCAATCACCTCTGATAAAATAATCACAGATCCAAAGGAAATAAAACAAGACAAGAGACCACTTTAACAACTGGACCAAGTCTAACCCAACAATCACAAACTTCGAATAGGAATAGACACTCTACCTACAACCTCTTCTCAACATCTCACCTCATATCTACGATAATCTTACTCTACCAATTATATATAACAAAATAACCACTACAATCAATACTACTACAACACAAAAAGCAACTGGGCTATTAGGCATATCCAACGAAATGTTAAAACACTTACCTTATACTGCAATCTTATCATTACTTCTAATCTTTAATGCATGTCTGGAATTAGAACAAACACCAAAAAGCTGGGGAATGGCAAATATATGGGCTATCCCAAAAAAAACAACACTACAATAATGATTTAAACTATACATGTCCCATTACACTAATTGAACATACATGAAAAATTTTTACAAAAATACTAATACTCTGTCTAAACCAAATACTTACTAAATACCAAATCCTCTCAAAAAACAACAATGTAGCCCTTCCATTTACATCAACTCTTAAACCAATCCAAACTGTAACTTATATTATCAAACATGCACATATTATCAACAAAAAATATTGGGTCCTTGCACAGGATATGTCCAAGGCATATGACACCATCCATATCCCCCTTCTCATAAAAACCTTGCAAAGAATCTACATCCCAAAAAAAATTACTAACCTTCTCAGCCATCTTCTAAATAGCAGAAAAAACACTATAATAACAGATATTAGAACAACTGAACCCTATACAGTACAAGATGGAATCGACCAAGGGGAAACTTTCTCCTCAATACTCTGAAGAATATACTACGATCCACTAATTAGCTGAATCGACACCACCTATCAAGGATACCTGCTAGATACAAACACTCCCTTCAGGACTATATCAACACATACTTCAGTAGTAGCATACATGGACGACACTGTATAGATTGCAAAAAAACAAAACCAAATTACAAAACATACTCAAGACAGTCGACTCTTTCTTATCTTATACAAACATCAAAGTCAACACACACAAATCAATATTAATATTCAATGACTCTGATCCACAAGCATCCATTACATTCTGTAGACAACTATTTCTAATATAAAACCCAAAGACATCTTTCAGCACCTGGAAGTTTGGCTCATCTGAGACCCTTTACTAAAAGCAGCTAAAACCTTAATTATGAATGAAATCACAACCAACATTAACAAAATCCAATATGCAAAAATTACAGATAAACAAGCTATCTACATTATCAACAACATGATTCTAACAAGAGCTGCATACCAGATGCAAAGTACACATCTGTTAAAACATGCCTGCTCCAAATTTACAAGACTCTATACTAACATAGTAAAACAAAAAGCATGGCTTGCCTGATCCACACCCAATTCGACAATTCACCATCCTGCAATATATATGCTAAATACACTTTATAGCATTCAACAACAACAACAAATTAGAACGTTAGATCGCAGTATCCACTCACAAGACTTCGATAACTCAAGCATCAAGATACGGCTACAACAACTTCAAAACACAGCCAATTCAAACCAATCCATCCTCTCTGAACAACCAATCTTTCCTACAAATGAATACAAAACAAATACTGCACAACTAATAATAATACTTCATAATCTAAATATCCAACTAGCACGTTCAACCAACCCATGGCCAATCCCAAAACAACTTAAAGGACCTCAATCAACTTAATCTTAACATCAACCAAACAACCAGCTACAGTTAAACACAAATTAAATATACACAATATCACTTGTATAGAACAATTTCTCAACTACACCAACACCCACACTCTCAACTAGCACTCATTCTACCATAATATCCAAAAAATTCTTAGAGAAAAAATCTCCTATTGGTTCAAAAACATTACTGACAAGATAACTGACCTCTCCAATCCATCTACTATACTAATCTTCCCTAACCTATTCACATTTACATTAATTAACCTACATAACTATAAATGAATTATTACCTATTTCAAAAAATTCAGCAAAATTACTAGCATGACAAACACCTTAGCAAGAATTAAACACTATACTTAACAGACTCTATTGGAACATCCTAGATAATTATTCCTCACTCCAATAAATGAAACCCATCAAACTAGCTCACTGCCTAC